CATCGATTCCGGTGAAGCAGAGAGCGACTCTCCACCTCCGTTAGAGGATATCCACAGCGAGGACGAGGACGCCCCTGATCAGCCTATTTTCATTGCTGCGGGAGACGAGGATCTACATCTGTGGGTAGAGGTAAAACGAGAGGTTGACCCTAATCTTACTACAGCAGATTTTATTGAGTTTCTTGACTTTTGGGATGAACTTGATTTCTTTGATGCCGAAGACGAACCCGATGACCCAGGAGATTTAAATTCTGTTGACTTTCTAAATTATAAAGCTTAAATTTATTTTACTTAATATCTTACTCATGAATTTACCTTCACTGTAGTTTTAATTCTTATATATCTATGCTACTTTAGTTGTCGTTTTTGGTAACGCGCAGTGCATGTCGACGCGCCGCCCAGGTATCGTTACTCGTAGCCAATCTGGTTTTTGTCATGGGGATTGCAAGTCCCCACTTATCGAAGAGCTTTGCTTTTCCTCAGGGATCCCAATTTCCTCGTTCTTACAACCAGCCCCCTCGTCGTGAATTTGGGCCTCGATCGCAGCCTCCGCGCAGGGATTTTAACCCTAGGTCCCAACCTCCTTCCGTGGATAATAGGCCCCGCAACTTAGGCCCTAGACAACAACAATTTCCCACTAGGGATGGTAGGACTAGGGATGGGAGGCCTACCTGCTATCGATGTGGCACTGTGGGACACTTGGCTGCTAACTGTCACGTTCGCCTGACTCCTAGGGCCCCGGGACAACCCCCCCCCCCCCCCCCCCCTCACTCAAGAATAGCTATGCTCACCCCTGTGCCTTCTCCAGAAGTGCCTATCATTTCAGGGCACACTGCAGAGTTTTTTATGCCTAATAGTACGACAACAGATGATGCCTTTCAGCAAGAAGACACTATTGACATTAGGGCATATGAGGAAACCCCAGTAGTAGTCCCACTTGTAGAGGTCTTTTCCCTCGAAACTCCTACCAAGCGACCCCAAGAAATAATTTGTTATGAGCCAAAAGAAGTCTTTGAGGAACCTATCGAAGTTTCATGTGTAAACCTCTGATCTACTGATATTCCCACGGTCCCTATGGACTTGGTTGATGAGCCCGTTCCGGAACCTATTTTGCTTACTGGTGATGGGACCTACCCACTCCCACATGATTTGTCCGTTCAGGGTGAGGCTGCAGGCATGGGTGTGCGCTTTTTGATTGACACTGGGGCTGCTATAACGGTTGTAAGTACTGAATTTTTGCAAAAAAGTCCCCTGGGGTATACCTTCCCTTTAAAAACAGGTGAATTACAAGCTGTCAAGACCGTTAGTGGAGAACAGTTACCAGTTCAAGGCAAAATATCCTTGCCTTTGACTATCGAGGATACTCAGTACAATTGTGAAGCTTATGTTATTGAAAATCTGGGGTATGATTTTGTTTTGGGTCGAGACTTTTTAAGGCAAAATAGTGCCCTTATAGATCTGGGGGGAGGTACCCTTCGTTTACAAACAGCCGACCCACCCTATTCCCCAGCCCCAGACCTTAGTTGTTAGGTACCTGTCCAATCTACTTGTGTAGTTCCCCCTTACTGTGAAGTTTTGATTCCAGCTAAATTGTCTAGCATGTTGCCTTGCACAAAGGGATTAATTGAGCCGAATTCACGTCTTGCCGAGCGATATCATCTCCAGGGGGCTGCTCTTTTGGCTGTGTTCTCCCCAGGTAATCAGGTCCCCTTTAGGATACTCAACCCAACAAGTCAGCCTGTGACTCTCTATCGTGAGACTAACCTGGGGTCCTTCCAAGAATTGGCTCCTGACGTGGCTACTATTTCTCTCGAAAGCAACCCTTCATCCCCACCCACTCCTACCCCATTCCCTTCACAAGAAGTTCCAATTAACTGGGGAGATTCTCCACTGTCGGCTGACCAAAGGTCTCAGCTTCGCTCATTATTGAATAAGTACCGGGATGTCTTTGCCCTAACCGCTGAGGAACTCGGTCGTACAGGCATAGTAAAACATCATATTGACACGGGAAATGAACCCCCCATCTGGTGACCTTATAGGGTAGCCCAAACCCAACGAGCCAAAATTGCTGCGCACGTCGAAGATATGCTTGACAGAAATATAATTCAGCCCTCAGTCAGTCCTTGGGCAGCGCCAGTAGTTTTAGCTCGCAAAAAAGATGGCCAAGATAGGTTTTGTGTCGATTATCGGCGCTTAAACCAAATCACCAAGAAGGACAGTTATCCCTTACCCCGAATAGATGACACACTTGATGCATTATCAGGGGTCAAGTACTTTTCTACACTTAACCTGGCAGTTGGCAGTTGGCAGTATTTGCAGTTGCAAATGGACACTTCAACTCATGAGAAAACAGCCTTCGCTACACATTGTGGGTTATACGAACTCCTCGTGATACCATTTGGGCTCACAAACGCACCCAGCTCCTTCCAACGGGTAATGGAATGTGTCCTCCAGGGTTTAAATTGGAAAATCTGCTTGGTTTATCTTGACGATGTCAGTATCTTTTCCCCAATATTTGAAATACACTTGCAGCATTAAGAGTTAGTACTTCAAAGATTCCGTGAGGCAAATATTAAGCTTAAGCCAAGTAAATGCCGTTTTGCTCATTGCAAGGTAAATAGTGGGCCTACATTGTAGGCTTTCCCTGATTTTCACCTTCAATTTCATCTTTACGTGGATGCAAGTAATGAGGGAATTGGCATGAACCTAGGCCAAATTCAAAACAACAGAGAAGCTGCCATTGCCTATGGGTGGCGCAAATTAAACTNTCATTGCAAGGTAAATAGTGGGCCTACATTGTAGGCTTTCCCTGATTTTCACCTTCAATTTCATCTTTACGTGGATGCAAGTAATGAGGGAATTGGCATGAACCTAGGCCAAATTCAAAACAACAGAGAAGCTGCCATTGCCTATGGGTGGCGCAAATTAAACTCCGCTGAACATAATTACAGTGCTACTTAACGGAAAACTTTGGCTGTTGTGATTGCTATTAAACATTTTCAGTCTTATTTGTATGGACGCCCCTTCATCATCCATACTGATCATAATGCTTTACGCTGGCTGATTAATGTTAAAGATCCGACAGGTCGCTTGGCCCGCTGGTCTTTGTTTTTGCAGCAGTACGATTTTGAAATCCACCATTGTGTCGGTAAGAACAATGCTAATGCAGATGGCCTTTCTCGTAGGCCTTACTGCTCCACAATTGCTACCATATATCTCCCAGGCCTGCAAATTACCCAAAGTTTATGATGAGCAACGCAAAGATCCGGATTTGTCAGACATTATTCTATACCTTGAGGATCAAAACGTGCTTTGGGAACATCATGTTGGTCCTCCTCTGAGGAAGATAGAGCACTATTATCTTGATGATAATGGCCTCTTATGTCATTTATCAAGACGCCTGTAACGGGCGTTAAAAGACCTCACCCCTACAGGTCGAGGAAAATCTGGCATTCGTTTCCAATTGGTCATTCCAAGGGCCTTGTGTCACGAAATTTTGTCCCTCGGGCACAATAATGTTACGGCCGGACACATGGGAACCTTTAAAACTTAGGAGAAGTTGCGACTGCGTTACTACTGGCGCGGCTTGTCCAACAATGTCCAGCATTGGTGCTGCACTTGTGTTCACTGCGCCATGAAAAAACGCCCACATGCCATCAATAATGCTCCTTTGTTACCTATCCCAGTGGAAAATGCATTTGAACGAGTCGGAGTGGACTGCGTTGGCCCATTTCCTGTCTCTAAGTCTAGCAACCAATACATTGTTGTGTTTTCAGACTACTTAACGAATTGGCCAGAAGCGTTTGCACTCCCAACAATTGATGCTTATGTCATAGCCAAACTGTTTGTCGACGAGATTATAGACTGACATGGAGCTCCTCAAACACTTCTTTCAGACCGTGGCCAGAATTTTCTTTCTAAACTTCTGAAAGAAATTTGCCGCCTCGTTAACACTTAAAAGGTGTTCACAACTAGTTACCATCCTCAAACTGATGGTCTTGTAGAGCGATTGAATGGTACTCTTGTTCAGTCTCTCTCTACGTCAGTTCTGACTTAAAACACTGGGATGAATATTTGCCCTCTGTGCTTTTAGCACCAAACGTGGACTCAGCAAGAAACTAAGGCACATATGGCATGGTCCAATGCGTATCTACAAGCTTTCCCCAGTCACGTACAAGGTAAAGCTACCAACTAACTCTCCTATTGCTACCACCATTCATATCAACCGCATGAAACCATATTATGACCCTGCCAGCAGGCCTATCTCACCGATGACCCCTCTGAACCCTACTTGGATGAATCAGGGTTACCAGATGGCAGTTTTGATCTCTCCTGTCATCTTCAACTGAGGATAGCGCCCAGGTGTCTATGAGTTGTCCTTTGTTTATCATTAACGAGGCTTGCACTTTTTTTTTTAGCTTCAAAGAACCAAGTAACTTCAAAGTAGCTGCGTAAAAGTGTGTTCCTTTTACTGAACTTTGCTTAGTTTCCTTTACTGTTTATTCTCCTTCAGAACCAAAGAAAAACTCTTAAAAGGAATTTTGCATAACAAGTTAATATATGTTAATAAGAACATATGGTCAATGACCAACAAACAAATAAATAGTGAGATGCGAAGAAGCAGATTTTAGAGAGAACGAAAGTGAAGTGCAGAGAACACAAGATTAGTTGAAGACGTTGATACAAAGAAGTTGTTGAGGAAGTTGTGAAGAGCTGTGAAGCGAAAGAGTAAGTCCCCTTATAATAAAAAGTTTAATCTTAAGATGTGTTTGGTTGTGAGAGTCACTCTCGCTAGAGGAACTAGTTCCCGTATCATCTTGAACAAATTAGCCCTTGAATTCACCAAAGATGATAAGGTAAGCAGCCCAGTCTGAAAACAACTAGCTGAGATTATAAATAAAAGGTGGGCCTCAAAACTGAGCGACAACAATGCATCCCAAGTTACCACAAGGGATGTTGCACAAGCCCTTGGCTACATGGTATCTAGTTTTCCAGGGGTCATGTTTGGCCCGCTGTACTTCAGACAACTTGAAAGGGACAAAACGGAAGCCTTGAAATGCAATAAAGGTGTTTTTTATGACTTTATATCAGACAAAGCCCATCAAGAGTTCGAATGGTGGGTTATGCATGTTGATTCTAGCTACAATGCCATAAGTTATGGTGAGCCCACCATTGTTTCTTTTTTCAGAACTACTGGTACCCATATGGTGTAATCAGGACAGTGTAGTCATGTTATCTACCATGACCTTCACATGCTGTCCCTTTATTGTCAATGGAAAAGATTACAATGCAAGTGAATATTGCAAGCAATTCCACGTAATTAATGTGGTAGTTAGCCTCTTCGGCAGTCCAGTTTCCACCTGTAGAAATATCATTTAATGAACAGCCCCACCCAGTGCATGAGGCATCAGTGCACAGGTTACAAAAATTTAACAGAATTAACCTCTAGTTAAGCTGTGTTTTCGTGCTTTTATGTTATATAGATACCAGGAAAGGCAGCGTGGCATTGCAAGAGCCAGTCCAGGAAGCTACAATTGGCCATAGAAGAAAGTACAACAAAGTATGAAAGATGGATCCATGTACATCTTCCATCGGTCAATGAACATACGGTTCACCCAACTGGAGACGTAAGCATTTTAAACTTTTATCTTTTCAAAGTTTTTGATCATAATTAGTATGTGGGAGGTGTTTTTACATGTAGCACTTCAACAGTCGGTTTTTATATATCTTGCCAATATTTCTCTGTTTCATTCATTATTCTTTGGTAGGCCAGCAGTTTCCAGCGAATCGACGGAAAGCTGGTCACCAAAATTCAAGAGCTGGTTTCTGTAGGTGCAAGATCTGAGAAGAAGATTGGTCAGCACCTTAAGATTTTTGTCCAGTGGGAGTTGTATCAGGGAAAACAGGAACCTCAGAAAACCAAGCAACGGTTCTATCCCTCCAAAGCGACCATCTGCAGCCATATTTATAAGTCATTTGTCAAGGAAACGTTCTCAACAATTGACCAGGAAGACTATTTAAGAAAAGTAGAGCTTTGGAAAAAGACCTCACCTCATGACCCTTTCGCATATCACCCATACGCCACATACGCCAGTGAAGAAAAAAGCACGCGACCTGCAGAGGACAGTGACAGAGAGTCGCACAATGAGGGAGAGGATGAGCAAATACTTAAGACATCAACAAAGGGGCTCTTGTTTGTCCACCAATCAAAAGATCAAAGACGACTTTTAGAGCGATATGGAAGCGAAATTTGTATGCTAGACGCCGCTTACAAGACCAAAAGATACAGCCTCCCTCTTTTCTTTGTTGTTGTCAAGACTAACATTGACTATCAGATTATGGGTTCTTGCATTGTTCAAAGTGAGGCGACTGATGCTATCTTTGAGGGGTTGTCTGTTCTGAAGTCGTGGAACCAGAAATGGAACGTACCTCTCCTGTTTCATGGTTGACTATGCAGAAGAAGAAATGTCAGCAGTTGGATAGTTATTCCCTGATAGTTCAATAAGTAATTGCTTGAAAGAGTGGCACATAAATATATCGGTACTTAAAAACCAATGTTGATGTTGCACTAGCAGCTGAAAACATAATGACAACAAAGTAGAGTATGATCCCTGTTATTACTGTTTTAGATACAGCTCTTTGACCAAACCCTAACCATAACCATATTGTCCCTAAAATCAACGCACACATGCGTTTTTGGTAAATAGCTGGGCACCTTACCCACTTTATCTTGAGTTACCTCTTCAAAAACTTAGGCGAGTCACCTCAAGTAAAGTTATTTTAAAATCCAGGAGCATCTAGATGGAAGCTTTCATTAGTCTATTATACCATTAGCCTGAACAAGTCACCACATAGTGAGCGATACAACAGGTTAATTTAGAGAGTTCTTTTGGCTACGTTTTCTCACAATGTTTACAAAACTTGTTCCTACAGAGGTTAGATTTTCATCCGTAATTTCCATCGTGAACAGGCCTGGGAAAGATGGCTTGGTAAGCCAAGAAATGGCATGGTAACAACAACGCCAAATTTTTCTTGCCAAGCTACGGGCAATAGCCAGAGCTAGAACAGAACAGGAATACATGGAAAAAGTGAGCAGTCTGAAGGAGAGTTATGAATGGAAGTCGAGTTCTAACTTTCGAAATACATCTCAAAGACCTGGCTCCTGCAACACAAGGTAACGAGGATAAGAACTCAAATATGTGCACCGCATTTTTTTTTTTTTTAAAATATCTTATTGAATTTTTTATTCTCGACATTTTTCATTATTCTTATAGAAATGGGTATGGGCTTTCCGAAAAGACCATCTCCTCACAACAATAAATACAAACAATGGTGTGGAGAGACAGAACAAGGCCTTTAAATACGACTACTTGGAAGGACACAAGCATTTGACCTTTAGTAGCATGTTATCCGTACTTCTCAATGAATTCCTTCCTGACAAATATCTCAAGTTAACTGGCCGAAAGGCAAGTGCAAAATACATTTAAATAGCTCCAGACGCATGTATCTCACGCATATATCTCCTTGCTTTCAAACTCACGGAAGCGAACAACCCCGGCGAACAACAAGTAGCCAAATTTCCCGCCAGTTTCCCCTTTGTAGAATTCAATCATCCATAACCGACCTTTCAATTTCCGGTTCTTTGACAACCTCCTTTAGAGGGATTGCAAAGCGATGTTGCGCCATTTTAGTTGTATTTAGCCATCCATCAAAGGGAGGTTTTGAGTTTTTGTTGAAAGTTTAATTCTCCAGATTAGATCTATTCTTTTATTATTACGACCTGGACAAACTATTAAGACTGCCGAACGAAATCATCTTCAAAATAATGTGGATGACTGAAAAGAACAGAGCCCGGGTTTCCTAAAGAAAGTCTTTTTTACTTTTTATTCAACAATGAAAACTGTTTTGAATATACATAGCAAACATAACACAGGAAGTGTTGACTGTTTGCCCTTTGAATCTTTTAATTTCCGGTTCTCTAACAACTTTTCCCTTTAAGGGGTTACCAAACAATGTCCTACCATTAACGTATTTGTAATCAGCCATCCATGAAAGGGAGCTTTCGAGTTTTTGTTGAAGTTTAGTTCCTAGCAAAGAGAAATAATTTTTCTTCCGATGAGACGTATTCTTTAGTTAAAAATAGATTTATAAGGTTTCTACAACAGTTTTTTAGCCAATGAGCTCACAGAAACCTAATTTTAAGGCAACAACACGAAGGCGACTCGGGTCACCTCGGATTCCATCATCACAAGAAGTTCCAACGGCACCTCCTTTTAACGGATGACAAAGTGTGACTACCTAATATCTGTGTTAAAGGAAGAGGATGTTTACAGTCGCTGATAGCCAGAGCAGATGAACTTCCACCTTTCCCAGCACAAGGGCATGCTGCTCATTTTGCTGCCGAAGCCAAGAAAAAGATGAGGCATTGCCAGGCCTGGAGTTAAAATGTATTGAAGAAAATGAAGAGGATCAACTGGCAGAAGGAATAGTGATAGTGGAGGCCCTTTCAGCAATGCTGGCTTAATCAGGTCTAGAAAAAAACTGTTGTTGCTGAAACCAATCTTCAGATGCTACGTGAACAATTCCAGCTACCTACCACGCCTGACACTTAGGAAAGTATCGAAAACACTGTTGGACAAAAAGTCAAAGCATATCGAGCGTAACACAGCTGTCCTCGTTTGACCATTGAACTGGGAACTTGGCTCAATTTTGCCATAAAGCACTTCCGAAAAACTCCTCAAAACATTCGAAGATTCTGCAGGTTCATGGTTCAAAAGGAATTGCTAAAACAACAGGTTACAAAATAATGAAGTTTACTTCTACACTGTATCGTCACAAAAAGCTCTTGTGCTGTTCTGTGCCACAAAAGTTTTTTTCACCAACACTTGGAGCATATCTCTCTGCTAATTTAACAGCTAATTTTCTGCTTTTTTTCTTGTTTATGTAAATCAGATAAACAACCTTGTTAAAAAACAAGTAAATGTATTACATATTGCTCGCTGCTATTTTTTTTAATTGACTTTGCAGCTTTAACAAAGAGAGTAGCCAACATGTTGTCCACTCTTGTGATCCCTTGTGTCTTTGCGGTCATTGCTGTAAAGAATATTATTAGAATATGGTTTCAAGTTACAATCTATGTTTTCTCGTGATGTGGTTGCCACATGATGTCTTTTTAACCAATCATATGCTTGATGTACGGGGCACTTCATATTTAGAAAAATGCAATGCGTGATATATAAGAGGCCACATGGTACAGAAAAACAATGGAAATCTTGCAAAGAGATGAAAAGTCGCCCTATTGTGAGCATAAGAACGCATAGAGGATTTATGCTTGAGGGCATGCATGCTACTCCAGCCCTTAATCCTCTTGAGGTTATTCATGGCTCCCTGAAGCAAACAAGTATTTTGCCCTAACGAATAAGAAACGTATTCCGTATAGATACCCCATCAAAGATCCTCACGCCTTATTCAGGCAAAACAAAGATATTTTTGAAAGAAATAACACACAAGCTTTGCAAAGATTTGGAGCCATAAAATTTATGACACCAGTTCACCCTGTCCCTGTCCAAGTCCACTTGCAGGATCAAGTTATATTGATTTCCTATTAAGACCTAAAGCAAAACAAGCATCTTTGTTCTTACGTGGGCTTGGCACACATAAGAACAAAGGTGTGTTCTAAATACAAGTATAAGGAGCGTGTAAGGATTTGGTTGAGTGCTGCGCAGATGAAAAGCCAGCCAAGGGGTATAAAAATTATGAAATGGGCCAATGGCAAATATAAAATAAGGGGTGATTACATAGACGAGAGAGCCAAACTAAGGCCAGTTAAAAAGGATGCACCTGAAAAAATCAGACTTCAGTAAGTCATTGATGATGTCATTGGCACTGTCAGAGACCACTGTCACGTAACAGGTAAAAAGCGAGAAGCAGCACACAAGTACTGTAACATGGTGTATTTTAAGCTGGATCCATGCTGTTACAGTGATCAAGTACAAACAGACCACTCAGGAGATATCAATGATAAGTAACACTGTTCTGGACTATATTTGTGACCAGTTAATTAAAACAACTTGTATGATAATCATTTTAAGAAACTCAAAACTTTAATTTTTTTTTTGTTCTTATCCAAGGTTATTGATCCAGTCCAAAGTGAGCCAGTTGCAGAATTTAAGGTTCGGAAATCAATAATGGTAGGTAGATTGAGTTCCAAACTTGAAGAGTATGCACAAGCAACTTCTTATGGAGGAGCTGCCTTTAAAAATTGCTTTGGTTTCATTGATGGGACAGTGAGGCCAATCTGTAGACCAGATCAAAACCAGAGAGAGGTCTATAATGGACACAATAAGGTATATGGACATTTCAATCAGTTTCACTGCCCAACGGAAAAATTGCAATCCTCTATGCACAAGTAGGGAAGTTGTATAGGATGTATACACCGTAAACAAGAATTTTTTGCGTTTGTCTTTAAGATTACTAAACTGGTATCATTTTTCGCCATTTATATTAACTTTCATTTTAAGCACTTCTTTACCTATGCCAACATTTCAATTAGCAATGTCTTTCCTTGAATGTTTCTTTCTTATGTTTTAAAGTAATTAAGGTTCATTTTGAGCAAACCAAGGCCTACTTTCAGCTTAAAGTACTCCTAAGATTTTGTTGAAACAAGAAAACATTTCCTTTTGATAATTTTAGCCTGACGTGATTCTCGTTATTGTTAATATTTCCCACAGAAAGAAAGCATGATGCAGGCATCCTGGCAGACTCAGGCCTGCTTAGATATCTTACCCAATACGATTTTTTCTACAACAAGGGAAACTCTCTGTCTGCATGCAGATCATGCATACCCTCTAAAGGTTCACCTACAGAAACCCTTCCGTATAGTGGCGCCAAATCCCCTCATGGAAGAATAATTAATAGAGCAATGAGTAGTGTAAGAATTTCAGTAAGGTGGATATTTGGTGACATAGTAATTATTTCAAGTTTGTAGATTTCTTTTTAAAAAAATCTGGAGATAGCCTTAAGCTCAGTAGGTAAGATGTATATATGTCAGCTACACTGTGTAGTGCTTACACCTGCCTCTATGGCAATACCACTAGTGAGTTTTTTCACCAGATCCCTCCTTCTGTGCAACAATGTTTTCAGTAAGATCAACATTAAAGTTTTTCGTTGGTGCTTAAAAAAAGTTATAGGTTTGAAGTAAACAAAAAAAAGCTCCAGGCTTGAAAGGGGATGTTATGTAAAAGGTGTGAATAAAGTGAATGAAAATCTTATTATAGTACTGTCATGGAGTTTTTGTGTTGCGTAACATTTTTTGGTCTTACGTGTAAGTGATCACGTTTGGAGCACGTGATATGTGACATTTTGAACTGAGTAGACTTTTGATTGAGACTAGATTTTTGATGACAGTGCACCTTTGAGAGAATTGTATCTTTGTTGAAGACTAGTGTTCGGTTTTGAAGTCTGAATGTTTTGGCAAGTGTATCGGTTTTGAAGCCCGTCACTGTTGGAGTCCTATTGGTTTGGAATAAAAACTATCACAAGTACATTTAATAAACCCCTGAAGGCTTCACAGTGTAGCTTATAGAAACTTATCTGAGCTACTAGCACTTGAATAAAACAAAGGAAAAAGAACAAAATCAAAACAAGTAGGACACAGTTAGAAGACAAAGCAACAATGCAAATACTAATGTAAACACGAAATCTATTGAAGGTAAACATTTCATTCATTACCTCAAACGATTTCCGCAGACTTGTTTTGTAATGCCTACATCTGAACACAAGTATCAGAGTTTTTTTATTCTTGTCCAAGGTTTTAGTGCTTTCACATTTTCAAGAATCATTGTTTGTTTCCACTGCACACTTTCATCAGTTTGGTCTTACATTCTCCTTTTAATAGCCCAGACAAGAAGCCAAAACAAAACAACATTCACAACAACAAAAAGCCACGAGTGTTCGCAACAAACCACCGTCAGCCAACAAAACTTTTTTTGCTCGTTGTCACAGGAACTTAATGCCGATTGTATTTTATGACATTTGGCTGGCTCAGACAAGCTGTCCTATTTTTCTTAAATTGGACAGTTTCCCTATTTGTAAAGGAAAGTTTTGATTGACAAGATAAAATTACACAACAAGAAAATGTTTTAAAAGCCAATTTTCAAGCCCTGACTGCAAGAGTGAATGGGAAAACGAAACTACAGGAGGTTTCACAAAGTAACTTAGAAAGACTCGTACCCTCTGCCACAGTGTCATTAGGGAATTTAAGATTTAAGACTACGGTTAACGGCTACGGTTGGACGGGTACACGGGATCTGGGTTGAGCTTTTTTGCGTATGTGTAAAAGTTATGGGATGGCGTTTTGCTTACCGTCGTGTTTCACTATGGTAAGTTTTGACAGCTTTTCTCGTCGTAGTCAAAGATCAACAGCGTGATTTCAAAGGTGAGAATTTCGTATGTTACTCAAAGAAATAACACACTTCTTTTTCTTTTCGATTTATTTTCTGAGTTTACCAGTGAGCTTCCTTTGTTTTTTAAGGAAGTGACACTGATTTCTTTTTTTTTTTTCGTTTTATTTTCAGAGTTCACGAAGTGGTGCGGGAGCGAAAGCATGGATATCCACAGTGGAAGTTTGTAAGTAAACCGATTGTTTTGTAGTAGATCGCTGCATATGCTTCAACACGAAATAGGTTGAAACTTTCGAATGTTTTTAATTGTTTATTTGCTTATTGTTAAAATTATGTTCACTTTTTTGACAGGGTCACTACCTCGGCCGCCGCAGCAAGAAACAACAAGTAAGCTTGTTAAGCTTATATAATATCTGTTTAACCTTATGTGCCTAGCTAACTTCATCTTTGGCACTCAGTTTTAAACTAGGATCTTTAACAGTAATAACATGTTAACCGTTTATTTTTTTCTCATTTGCATTTTAGTGGAACTTTTCGCTGGACAAGCGATAAAGATTATACTTTGGTGAAAGAAGTTCGATTTCTCGAACCATACCTGTACAAACTAGGGCTAAGGCTAAGGCTAAGGCTAAGGCTTCATGAAGTTCATGAAATGACATTTTTCACATGATGACCGTCGATAAGTGATTCAACCGTAGCAGCTTGCTTGTTTACAATCTTAATCTCTTTTTTTTTCGCGCCAAATGGTTCGTACTCGATCCAATCCACTATCAACAAGAACCAGATCTCTCCTGCTCATCCAACCGTAGTCATTCAACCGTAGTGCTCAATCTTACATTGCCTATTGATGATAGCCTTGATGCTTTGCAGGGGGCACAGATATTTTCAACCCTTGATTTACGCTCAGGATATTGGCAAATAGTTACGTCCTGCCTTTAAGGAGAAGGCTGCATTTATCACCCACCAGGGATTATACGCATAGCATTTTTCCCAATGATAAAAATAGATTGACGTACTATTGCAAAGTGTCATGGGATTGAAATGCGGACAAACATTTCGATTTGACTCCCTCGCTTCACTTCACTAGCTTCTAAATTGTTATAGTTATTTTTGAAGAATAGCAAAAAGGGGCACAACAAAACACTGTTGTTGGGGAAAATGCAATTCGCATATCCTGAGAGACTGCCAAAAGAAACTTCCTTTATTCGCTTTCCAAAGCCAGGAAGGATTTGGGACAATATGACAGAATAGGAAAAGAACGAAGCAAAACTCAAGACTGAAATGGCCAAACGCTTTCAGTATGTGTGGCCGCAAAGATTTCCAGAATCTCAAACAAATTAATAAAGATACATATATTTGCTCCTTGCATTTTGTTGGAGGCAAAGGCCTAGAAGGTGAGGATGCTAAACCAATATTGGCAACGCTAACTCCACAGGAATCTGAGAAGCAACAAAATCGTAAAAGAAAAGCTCCATTAAAGCGACACAAACTCCCTTGCAAAAAGAAGAAAAAACCACTTCCTATTGATGAGAATCAGCCCGAGGAGTCTGATGGAAATCAGAAGAAAAAAACTACAAGTGCGTGCTAAACCACTCCTGTAAGTTCACCAGAACTAGCCGAGCAACAAAGAAACTGTTGAGACACAGGCACACAAACGCAACACAAACAGTATGTTCTTGTAGCTAAAGTAGAAACTATGATTTTAAGAAATCAAACCGTTGTTAAAGAGAGCGAGGAGTGCATTTCAAATTGGGTTAACATGTTAGATCCTAGTGCTGTTCTGAAAAGCAGACAAAAAACAAAATTTTTCACAGGGCCTTTTCCCGAACAGTTTGAAACGTTGACGTTTCTTAGCCCTGCCAAGTATCATTTAAAGCACTGGGACTCGAAAGGGAGAGAACGCAAAAAAACCCAATCAGCGAAATACAGAAAAGATGGGACCTACTCGACGATTTATGCTGAAAGAAGAAATGTATATAGCTCTACTCAGGCTCAGGAGAGGATTTTCACTAACGACAATTGCACATTTGTTTGAGGTTTCTTAGTCTTCAATCGGCAGAATTTTTATCACTTGGATTCAGTTTATAGTCTAGCATCATTTGTACTCCCGTGGGAAGTACGTGCTGAAAGCAAGCAACTGGTCTATAAGTGTTAAGACCTCAAATAACAAGAAAAATCTTGTTGCCAGTTTTGTAACCCGCACTGAGGCTTTTCAGGGGGGGTTAAAAAATTAGCCTAACAGACTATGCATGAAAACGAGGTTGGGGAATTAAATGTCTTACAACTTTACAAACAGTTGATAAAATGACACTAAAATAACAGGACTTGATGTCAGTTTTTTTCCATAGCCAGTGAGACACTTCACTAGTCACGTGACGAAGCGAGCATGAAAACGAGGCTGAGAAATGAAACCTCTTATACCTTTATTAACTGTGGATAAAACGAAACCAAAACAACAGGAGACGTACAACTCAATGTTTCCAGTGTTAGCCTAAGACAATGGTATACGACACTAGTCACGTGACGAATCTAACATGAAAACGAGGCTGCTAAACAAAACTTTTTACAGTTCGTATAACTGTGAATAAACCAAAACCAAAATAACGGGGATATAAAACGCAATGTTGTGAGTGTTTGCCTAACCCAGAACATCTTTTTTTACCGAGCTACTGTTCAAAGAAGTAGACTGTTCATCCTGTTCAATTGCAAGTCTACATGAGAAATTATCAATATCCTTTCCAATTTCTATTCTAAAAGGTGCATATTCACGTCTATATGCGACAGAGTCAAGAAATTCCCTGGTTCAAAGAATAAAAGACAATAGTTTGATAAAATATACTGGCATGTGTTATAATTAAAAAAATTTTGGATATTTAGCATAATTTCTTCGACTGATGTTGATCATTTAAAAAAGGATGTAGGAATAGACTGCTCAGCTGTTAAAGCAATTTGTCGGCGCTATTTTTTTTATGTCAGTATTGTGCAATAAGAAAATTTTGTTGGACCAATGTTTGAAATAGTACTTGTACCATTTGGGATGCAGTTTTGCGTTGTCCTCATTTCTCAGGCATTTTACTGAAAGGGTTGAAACTGCAGCTGTAAGAAACGACACTACCTTGAACACCGAAACATTAATTTGCCTACCACAACCGCCACTGCCACATGACCCAAAACACCAAAACGCTGCAGATGTCTAATCAACAGTTCTACAATCCAACCAGTGGAGTCCTACCCAGTACCATTTACCGAAAGAAGTAGAGATCTTTTCTCAGGAATAGTCATGCCCACCATCTCATTTTTCTACGTGGACGTTCTTTGAAAAGATTAATTTTTCTTTTTATGTAAATCATTGTTAACGAAATTTCATTAAAACAAACGAGCGTTTAAACAAATTGTAGTTTTTTCTATTCCAAACCAAATACATTTATTATTGACAAATCATCCATTACAAAAAAGAAAAGTCTCACCTTCTTTCTGGAATCTTTCCATTTTTCCCTCTACACATCGACCAAACACTATGCTGGACGAAAAATAATATCCATTTTTAACACAGACAACAGCTGCCATCCGCATTCCCTTTTTAACTGTGGATATTTGCACATTCTATAACATCTCTCGCATTTTTTTTTAAAAGACATCTTGGAAGAAATCACAATGTATGTTCACGAGATCATAACATAAAAGATGGAGACCAGGATATGAGGTTCAAGAAGATGGAAAGTTTAAAGGAACGCGAGAAAAGGGGTCTTGTTTTCAACATTTACGAATATGGGAGTTGTCCTTTGTTTACCATTAACGAAGCTTGTACCTTCGAGTTTTAGCTTGGAAGATCCAAACAATTTTAAAGTAACTGCGCAAAACTGTGTTTGAAATATATTTGGTTTGTTGCCCTTAGTATTTATCCTGCTCCAGAACTGAAGAAAAGCTTTTCAAAGAAATTTTAGGTTACGAGATAATTGTATGTTAATAAGAACATAGACGTATCCTACGCCGTAAACACATTATCGACGACCAGACAAATAAATAGAGAACTGTTGAGAAGTAGGTTCTTTCGAGAGAGAAAGAAAGTGAATTGCAGAAGAACAAGGTTTAGTTGAAGACATTGTTGAAAGAAGTTGTTAAAGAAGTTGTGAAGCAACATAGAAGAACTGTGAAACAGAAGAGTAAGTTACTCTGTAATAAAGTATTTAACGTAGAGCTTATTTGGGAGTTGTGTGAGTATCTCATACCAAGTGGATTTAGTTCCCGTATCACTGGTGGAGAACTCGCCAAGCCATACCCATTGTAAATGTCCCTTCCAGAAAACCCCTTAAAGGAGCCTAGTAACGAGGACTATACAGCCACTGATTCCAGTGAAGCAGAAAGCGACTCTCTGCCTCTGTTAAAGGACATCCACCGCGATGACGAGGACGCTCCTGATCAGCCTGCTTTCATTGCTGCAGGAGACAAGGATTTACATCCGTGGGCAGAGGTAAAACAAGAGGTTGACCCTAATCTTACTATCGCAGATTTTCACGAGTTTCTTGAATTTTGGGAGGAACTGGATTTCTTTGACTCTGAAGATGAGCCGGATGACCCAGGAGATTTAAATTCTACTGACTTTTTAAATTATCAAGCTTAAATTTATTTTACTTAATATCTTACTTACGAATTTACGTTTGCTGTAGTTCTAATTCTGTATATCTATGCTACTTTAGTTGGCGTTTTCGGTAACATGCAGTACATGTCAATGCGCTGTCCAGGTATTGTTACTCGTAGCCAATCTGGTTTGTCACGGGGATTGCAAGTCCCCACTTATCAAAGAGCTTAGCACCTCTAAACGACAATCGAGTGATTCCGAAACAAGCGATATGAGTGACACCGAAAGCGGCTCAGATTTACGAGAAGTTTTGTGCGTGATGGACAAATTATTTAGCCAACAAAACAAATATTTACATGCTAAACTTGAGAAGGCAACTGTTTGGAAACGGAAATCCATGAAATTAGAATTTTTCTCTGGTTTGGAATCCTAGGATATTGATCGATGGCTGCAAAAATTTCAGAATCACGTTGAGGCTGGTGGCCATAGGCATGATTCGGCCTCTATGGCCGCAGATTTGGCAAGTCACTTATCGGGTCCTGCCAAAACAGCATTAAAAAATAGATTTTCTTCCGAAGATGTTAAGGTGGCTTCCTAGAGTAAATTGGCCGTGCGCATCCTGGGTACTAGTATGGCGCAAGCTTTAAAAGCCGCTTAACGTCCACGCAAAAATAAAAACAAAACAAGGCTTCTCTTTTAAGAAATATTGCACGAAAAACTTTGTTAACTGTCCTGAAGTCCTCAAAGCAAGAAGATTCGTCAGTTTTGGACAAAGTTTTATAAAAGGAGATAATATTTTATGAGTGTCAAGCCATTTATCGGCATTTATCGATCCTCATAAGCGTGAATTGAAGAAACTTCACGTTATTACTGTGATAATTTCCACCCGACTGCTTCTTGTTTACCTTCAGATTTCTCAGTTCCTACTGTTAACTTATTTTTTCCCTTATGGACCACCAATTTCATTTTTTAACCCCTTATCATGATTTAGTTCAGTTTGTAAGGCTTTGCGGTTTTTTCCTTGTCTCCAAAGCCTTTTTGTTTCAACATCCAGTGCCTCCTGTTGTAAATGGTTCTCTCGCCCGTGCTATTTCACCTGTTTTGGGAATGCTATCAAAATGGGTTTTTTTCGTTTGTCACCTTACCTTTTCTTTTCCGCCAATGGTTGTAACATTCCTTGGCAAATTTTCCATTCTGCTAAAAGCTATCGTTATTTAGTGCGTCATTTTCAGAATTATCGTCGCACTCTGGGGATTCAACAGCCGTTCTGATGCTGGTAATACTGCTTGGCCACCCAAAGTCTTCGACACAATCGCTTTCACTTATTTGTTTTCCTGTCATACTTTTGACATTTAATGCCTTGAATTTGCATAAACAGTTTTTACCAAAGTCGCTTGGAATACTAACTAGGTCTATCTTGTCTCTGCTAGCAATTTTTGTAGTAGCTGTTCACTCTGTGTAAGTTTGCAAGAGGCACTAGGCCCTGGTTACTGCACGACACAAGTATTTGGATCACAAATAAAACACCCCTTTCTTCTTTCCTTTTGGCACACCAAAACAATCAATATTTGCCCGAAGAGTCTGAACGAGTTCATAGGAAAACTAATCTTATTTTCCTTGAGAGAAAGAGTATATGCAAATGAAAGTTGAATGTTATTCAGTTTGAAAGAACGAACCATTGAAAAGAAACAGGAGAGGTCAAGAAGCGGAAAAAAGCCATGGAGAGCTAAGCAAAGCTGCCAACGTTGGTCACAATGTAATACAACAGCAAAGTACCAGACGCGACTGTTGTTCTGGAACAAATATTTGGTTGAAAATAATACATGCTCTCCTTTCTTTAAGACCGCAAATATTTGTTATTCCACCACACACACGTAAATGTCCATCAAGTTAAAATGCTGCCCTTTTTTGAACACTCAAAACTGCAGTATTTCCCCCTATAAATCGCTTTTAACCACTCTGATGATACAAAAACTCCAATTCACACCATGTTTTTTCAATCTTTACACGCTTTCCTTTTATCTTCCACAAAACCCAATATTTACTGTTTTGATGCATGCAAATTCCTCTCCTCAAAGCCTCATCCTCAAGTATGTTCACGTTGTCATTTCTGTTCAATCACAATGGTGTCCAGATTGGAGCAACTTCATGAACTGGTTGCTAGTAAAGTCAACAGAATGGTGCGTTAAGTCAGGGAAAAGATCTAGACACAAAGAAGCAGAAAGTCCACAAACAACTGTCAAATACAGCTGTCTGCTCAAACAGGCAACAGGTAATTCCCGAGGCAAAATTTGAAGCCTTCTTCAACAGAGAAAATAAAATGAAGGTGTGGTCTTTCTGGTGTGAAGAGGAACAGAATTTCTCCTCGAAGAAACTAAATTTACTTCCAAGGTTCAAACCCTCAGCCAAATATATGAAAGCTAATAGCTATTTCAGATTTTAAAAAAAAGGAAAAAAGTACAAATATCTTTAGTGTACGTTTTCCCTAACAAGGTCACATTTACCCAACTCACAAGCCCGCTTGTATTCCACACATCTAAGCCCTTAAAAAAATTTCTCTTTTTTGCGAAGGTACACACACGCCAAAAAAGAGAAATTTACACCTAAAGAAATATTTCTTTGGGCCACAAATTAAAGGCTCCTTTTCTTTAAGTGGACCAACAAAAATCAATAATTACCCTAAGTCACCCCAAAATATACACAAGCTGGCACACGAATCACAAGTAGAAAAAAAAAAAAGAAAAAGTAGAGAAATATGGAGAAAAAATACCTCGTTTCTCAAAGAATGAGCTGAGATCTTTCTCAACTAGAAATATGACTTCGTAAAAGAAATGCCAGGCCCGTGTCCCAAGACGTATCTCCCCGATTTATGCACCGGAAATACTATATATCTTTCCAATGATTTTAAAAGTGAAACCCATATCTAACTCGATTTAGCTAAATGTACCTTTTACAGAATAAGTAAAACATCATTCCAATAAACAATATAAAAAGGTGAAGTATGAAGAATGATATTTGATCGATTGTTGACAAATTTTATCTGATCAAGTTGAAATATATACCAACATATATCGTTGTAGGAAGCTTTTTAAGTTCTGGAACATTTTAACTGTTCATTAATAAGTACGAAATCAGATATAAAACACATTTACTAATGAACTCTTTATTTAGAAAAATAACTACTAAAAAGAGTTTTTCCCTGCATCACGCACGGAATCAGAACATGTGCACCATTCTTTAGCTGGTTACTAACCAAGGGTAACTCCTATTTGTAGCCCCATGTGCCTTCAAATCATTCTTTGACATTCCATGACCTTAGGACTGCAGCTAAGCTAAGAATTTCTCCTTTCATGTGTTCGTAAGTAAATAAGGTTTTTGAGAGTGGGACTTCATGTCTCCTGACTTGATGTCCCTCAGAAAACACGTATCTTTAAAATGAGCGTTTTTAGTAATTAATGAAGGAAGCCTAAGTTTTAAGGCTAGTTTTTGTTGACAAAGTTATCCGTTTTTAGGGATTAATTAAGCGTAGGAAGTTTTGTCCTATACACTTATCCTGTTGACACATTTATGAATATGGGAGTTTTCCTTTGTTTACCACTGACAAGGTTTGTACCTTTAAGTTTTAGCTTCAAAGATCCAAGCAACTTTAAAGTATCGGTGCAAAAGTGTGTTTTTTTCACTGAACTTTACTTAGTTTTCCTTAGTAGTTATCCTGCTCCAGAAGTGAGGAAAATCTTTTCAAAGAAATTTTAGGGTACGAGATAATCGTATATTAATGAGAACGCAAATGTATCCTACACATTATCATAAATGTAAACCTAATATCAATGACCAAGCAAATAAATAGAGAGCTGCTAAGGAGTAGGTTTCTGGAGAAAGCAAACTACAGAAGAGCAAGGTCTAAGCTTGAAGAAAGATGCTGTTAGAAAGAAGTTTAGAGGTTGTGAAGTGAAACAGAAGAATAATAAAGTGAAAGCGTAAGTCTTCCCATAATAAAGTATTTAACCTTAAAGCTTATCTGGTTGTGAGAGTCCTTCACTCGCATCAAGCGGATCAGTCTCTTATCACTGGTGGAGAACTCGCCAAGCTATGCCTGCTGTAAATGTCCACTCCAGAAACATTGGAACCCAATAATGAGGACTTAGCAGCTGCCGAAACATCTCAGTGTGACTCTCTGCCACCGTTAGAAGATATTCAACGCAAAAAAAGAGGTTGGTTCTGACCAGGTCGTTTATATCGCTGCAGGTGACAAGGAATTACACCTCTAGAACCGGATAAAAAGTGAAGTTTACCCTAACCTTACTGCCAAAGAGTTTCGGGAGTTTCTTGATTTTTGGGAGGAACTGGATTTCTTTGACGCTGAAGAAGAACTGGATGCCCCACGGAGATTTAACTTTAAAGCCCATCTGGTTGTGAGAGTCCCTCACTGGCATCAAGTGGATCAGTCCCTTATCACCTGCTTCCAACTATCTGAATTCATTAAACCTGGAACGTTTGATGACGTAGTTAATATGTTGTGAAAATTATTTGCAAATTTTCATTTTGACAAAGGTTTTTAGACTGTTGCAACTCCATTGTTGTCTTTAAATATAAGGCATTCCCTAAAGAAATATGTAAACATACTTTGGAGCCAAGGGCTAAGAAAAAGGATATTAGACCCTAGATAACGATGTCAACAATTTCGAAACACTTATTGAATCAGAAAGGAATTATTGTGTTTTGCATCATTCCCTTAACGCTCTCAGTTCAAACAAGTTTTACCTGTTACAACTGGCGGAAGTCATGTTCAACAAAAGAAGAGGTGGGAATGCCTCAAAATTTCTGGTTGTAAGCTACCAAACGAAAATTCCCATTCAAGGGGCTGAAAGTGCACAATCAACTCACATACCAACCTCTCTGCCCAACAAGAAATGCATCATACCTGAATCTCAATTTGTTCCATTGTCAATAAGGAAAATTAACAGATAGTGTGCCATAAAATTCAGGACAAAATTCATATGATTGGAACTTTTATGGGAAGACTTAAACATTTTCCCGCACAGTATTCAAGAAACAACAGAAAATAACTAATTTTAAGAATGCACTGAAAGAGTGGAGACAATAACTAAACATGGAATTGCAACTAGAAAGATTTTCAATCAGATCCAAAAAGAGAAAAAAGTTAGAAAGAAAGGAACGGCACTAAAAGTAAAAAGAGAAAAATGGCAAAAATCCTTTAACCATCACAAGCATGATATGCACCCTCCACCACACTGATTCCACTGTCACTGA